AACAAAAGGCAAGCGAGGCGTACCGTGCAAACAGGCACTTGGCTGCACTTGAGGAAATTGTGGCAGACGCTGAGCGAGGAGAAAAAAAGGCCGTTTTCCTTCTACATCAGATCGGAAGGTACGGGAAAAAGCATGACAGTTACCCTGAAGAGTTCATTCGAGAGTGCGTAATATGGCGTTTCACTTCGCCGAAAGGATATGACTACGCTCGCACGTCGGGCCTTTTAACCTTGCCTGCAAAGTGTACTCTACAGAGGTACATGGGTCCATCCCCGACTACATCCGGAATGAGCGCCACGATGAAGGAGAGGCTCGTTTCCGAGGCGTCGATGCTGAGCAGCAAGCAGCATATGGCCTCCTTGATAATCGATGAAGATCAGACCCAAGTGCATCTATGACAGAAAGGCCGACGCTGTGTTTGGCCTTAAAGACAAGCCCGGCGGTGATACGCCCAGCAGCTCGAAGGAAGTGCTCGCGAACAGAGTTTTGTGCTTTGTATTGCAAGGCCTGTCACGCAAGTACAAAATTCCCTGTTCGTATTACTTCACAAAACAGCTGAGCGGCAGGGACTTGTTCACGTGGACAAAAGAGGTGATCGCTGCGGTGGAATTGTGTGGCTTCGTTGTGACCCGCCTTGTGACTGACAATTACTCAGCCAACGTCACCTTGTTTAAACACTTGGGGAGTGGCTCTCTGCAAACAGTCGTGAGGCACCCACACGATGACAGCCGCATCATTCTGCTCAGCTTCGATCCTTGCCACGTCCGGAAAAATGTGCGGAACCAGTTCCTGGAGCGACAGCTTACGGATGGCTCAGGTGTGATTAGTGGCACCTTCGTACAACAGCTGTACGAGCACCAGAAGAATATGGCAATCAAGCTTGCCAGGAATTTGACGAGGAAGCACGTCTACCCTACAAACCTGGAGCAGATGAATGTACTTCGTGCGGTTCAGATCTTCTCCCCACAGGTTTGTGCAGCACTGGAACACCTCGAAGAAAACTCCCGCAATGACCCTGCACTCTCCGCATTTAGGCGAGCAAGTTCCACCGTGCACTTCATGAGGACAATGAAAGATTGGTTTGATATGCACGACACCTCTTTCGGGGGAACGGGGCAGAAGGCCCCCATTGCAGACGTGGACGATGGCCGGCTACTGTGGCTAGAAAATGACTTCAAGTGCTATGTAAAGAAAGTACAAGCAAGCTCAGTCGCCTCTGGGAAGGGCGCTTTCACCGATGAAACGTTTGAGGCCCTGCTTTTCACTACAAAGTCAACAGTGGAAACAACTCGATACCTCCTAACCCAAGGCATCAACTACGTGCTAACAAGGAAGCTAAACAGCGACCCCATAGAAGCAGTATTCGGCAGAGTCAGGTACATGTGCGGTGGAAACGACATGCTCGACGCCCGGGCTGTGACGGCTGCTTTGGACCAAATTGTAAAATCCAAGTTCGCAAGGCCACCTGAAGTCGTGACGTGCGACACTGATGTTGACAAGTTGGTCAGTAGCCTGTCGGTGACGTTCTCTGACGACCTGAAAGAGCTTAGAGGAATGTACTTCCGCTCCCCCACTGTCTGTGACATGCTCTGGTTTGGCCTACGTCGGCGGTTACATCGCGAAACTGATCACGGACTTCGGGTGCGAATCTTGCGCCATGCTCCTCACTACAAGCGACAAAGATCAGCCACTGTACGCGCTTTTGAGAGGCCAGGACAGAAGCGGCCTTGCCTACCCGAGGCCAGAGTTCCTTGCACTTTTAAACGGGATCGTCACATTCTTCGAGAAAATAGCAAAACACCTGCCACGCACGCATGTTCTCGAAGTTCTACAGCTGCTCGTAGGACCGCATCTTGAGGACGTACCTCTGCTGAACTGCCCCGAAAGTGTTGACAATAGTCACGGAAGACGGTCAGCAAGCTTGATTGCTGACAAATTCTTCAGGATCCTTTTAGTGAATCACTCCACTCGAGTCACCGACGACAATGAAAAGCACATGAACTATACACATAAGCCGTCGAGGAAGCACTTCTGACTGTGAAGCTTCTCCAGCTCGAACAACGTTTCTTTTGTGCAAGACTGTTCTGTCACGCCGAGGATGATTTTGCTGGTGCTCGAACTCGTTTCCATATAATAAACTAATAAACTAGTTTCCAGTTTGCCTGGTGCCTTTCAGTTCAAAAATTATCCCCGATGCTTTTTCTTCGGCATGCGTTTTTAAAGATTTCTAACTAACGCTCTGCAAGTTTTGAGTCGTAACCTATGACAATTAGAGTACGCCGCTAAATAAAATACTTCAACCTGCATATGAAACCGAAACATTGAAACTAGCCAAGGCGAATCAATCACGCTGCGCTGAGAGCAAAATTTTGCAGCACCCGATGGCGGGCGCCCACGATAGCGGAGTACTTAGGATTTCAGTTCAGAAAAGAGGGAGGGGGGGCAGGGAGGGCATCGTGAAAGACCAAAAAAGTACCCAAAAATTAAACCACACAACAGAAAAAAGCCAAAGCTTGTAATTTATTCACGATACACTAAAAATTTAGGGCGATTCCACGTTCTGTCGAATTTTGTAATTATTTCATTTATTTCTTCAGAGAAATTGCAAAATGGCTCATCATCGCTTTGAGAACATACATCGAAGTCGCGTATGGCTGGTCACGGCCGGGCTAGAGAGAAAGCGGCGCCGCTCTCTAGCCCGGCCGTGGGCTGGTGCGTAGCGTGCGACACAAATATTCAGCCGAAGATCAGAAACCATTATTCGGGGATGGGCACGCAGTCTTCGTTTGGTTCTTCCTACCCAGCCCCCTTTAACCCCCCTTCTGCGTACGCCAGTAGCGGTGATTGTAGTGAAAAATAAAAAAAAGAAGAGCAGAGGCCGCGCATAGCTCGCCCGCGCGCGGAGTGGTAGCCGAGCGCGTCCGCAGGGTTGGCCCGCAGCGCCAGCTCCTAGCAGCGGCCGCAGGCAGGAACTAGGCCTCTTGCGAAAGCCGTAAAAGCGCGCGCGCCGCTCGCTTTCTAGCCCGGCCGTGCTCGAAGCAACTTTCTTTCCTGAATGGCAGGTAGGTGGCAGCACTCTTTGGGCAATGTTGTTTGAAAGCCGAAGAGCGCGTTATTCGAAGACAGAGCTCTACCACTTGCCCGAGAATAAATCGGCAGCTTTTCTTGACATACGGCTGGAGGCCTTCTGAGCAAGATGAATGGTCACGTTACTATTACGAGCGATTTTGCGCTTGACATAATGAGATTTTTTCTTTATTTGTGTTTTTTATGCCGCCGTTTCGATGGGAATCAGCACCGAAGTATGGAATATCGATATTACTACACAGACAGCTTGATGCGTTGAGTTTGATTACGAAGCGGATATTTTGGGGGCGAAGCTCCTTACGCCGTGGGCTGCACGTCCCGTGTTTGTAGTATGTAGTAGTAATCACCTCTCAGTGTTTAGAATGTTCGCTCTATGGCGGTACTTGTATATAGTGAATATATGATGAAGAGAAGAGAGTTCACTCGATTATTGGCCAATCCCCCATAGTGGGTATGCGCCACGATCAATAGGTGAACAAGAACAAGAGAAGCGAGTTGGTGGTACTTGGAGTGTGCACCAGAGGGACAGACAGACAGGCAGACAGACGGACGGACGGACGGACGGACAGACAGACAGACAGACAGACAGACAGACAGACAGACAGACAGGCAGACAGACAGACAGACAGACAGACAGACAGACAGACAGACAGACTGACGGGCGGGCGGGCGGAGGGACGGACGGACGGATGGACGGACGGGCGGAAGCAAGAACGAACGGGTGGACGGAAGCACGGACTGACTGACGGACGATTCACTTGACTTATCATAATTCACTCCTGGGATATGCTGTGATTTTTTTTTGTTGTTCTCTTTGTCAGTAAATTTGCTTCAAAAGGATCTGCGTGCCTTTTGCCTTACCTTACTGAAAAAGTATAAAGAAACCGAGAAAAAAGAAAGAAATGCTAATAGTGATAGAAGAATGGGTGCATGATAGGCAACCAATTTTTATTGACTATTGCGGTATTTTAGGCTATTTTTTCCCTCACAGTTTAGAGAGGTTGCAGCCTCTGAGCATGATTACGTCATTACCGTCCGATTTCGCGGCTACGAAGGACGCGAGGTTGGCGTATTGGGAAAGTAACGTCGGCGTGATTCAGGCGAACGCCTGATACGTCGCGTCCGCCTCGGTGGTACAGCGCTCATGGGGCTCGTTAGCGGACCCAGAGCTAAGCGGGTTCGATCCTGACGACGTCGGTTGCCTTTAGATGGAGCTTAAATTGTAGAGTACGATACCGGAATAGTGAGCAACCGGAACAGATACCAGCGTTGCCAATAAAAGTCCGTTGCCTATCATGCACCCATTCGTCTTCCACTATTATCATTGCGCTTTTTCTTGTGTTACCAGTTGAGTGCTTCCTCCTATAAGTGTAGATCACCTGTTGCTCACACCTGTAGTCCTGCACAACGTATTACGGTAGCTTGGTTTTTCGCGCATGACATACACGCGATAAAGAAAGCGTTTTATTAACTTTACATTCATTCATTGCTCAGTAATTCGTTCAAGTTTGGTCTTTGTATTCTAGCGCTTATTGCGTATGAAATCGTTCGTATCTCGGTACACCGCTTCCCGGTTTAAGGCGTACGAGTCGTGCAAGGGGTGTTAACTGATCAATCGCTTTCTTTTTGCCCCCGTGTTGATTGGCCAACACGTTATTTAGCAGGTAACTAAAATGCAGGACTCGCAGGGGAAATTAAGAATAATCCCAGGCATCATTAATTAGTGTTGGAAGTATGAACTATTGAGGATAACTTCTGACAGCAGTGTTACCCTCAAGGGACAAAACATTTCATTTATTCCAAACAATAAAACATGGTATGTCGAAAGACTTTCTGGCAGATAACGCAATTCAATTTCGCCGTACCCTGTACATCAAATACAACAAAAGGAAGAAGAAAACACGTTTCTTCAATCACGTGGTCACAGTGGGTGAGTAGTGCGGGCAGTGAATTTCCGAGCGCAGCGCGTATTGCAGGGTCAGCTTGAGCAGCAGGAGAGCGTGCTCGATGCCGACCAGAAATAGCACGAACTCGGTGTCCGTGAAGAGCCGGGAGAGGGCGCTCAAAGAGTCCGGGTTCTCGACGCAGATGAGCGCGATGTTGGTGGGCACGGCCAGGAACCCGATGGCCCGGAACGCGGGCTCCCAGATGCCGATGCCCTCGTGGCCGATCTTGAGGGGCCTCTGGAAGACCACGGTCAGCTTGTAGCCGACGATGAGCATCTCGAGCATGTTGCCGAAGAAGGCTACGAGCGGCGCCAGCGGCACGACGGGTCCGAAGAGGAAGACGAAGGCGAACTGCGAGAACATCTTGTAGTAGTCGACGTAGGTGCTCGTGTACTTCGTCATGTCCGCCTCGCTCAGGATGCTGTGCACGCCGGGCAGGTAGCTGGGCTCGCGCCGGATCATGTGGCGCACCAGGCTAGTCAAGCGGTGCAGCGCACTCGGCATGACGATCTCGACCAGGTTTTCCTTGGTGAAGGACATCAGGAGCTGGATGTAGACCTGCTTGCGCAGCAGCTGGATGTCCTGGAAGGGGAAATCAGAAAAGGGCCTCGGTCATCTCTGCCTCACGCCGGCACTTGTGTTGTCACATTCAGCTATAATGTAGAATGGCAAATTGCGGAAAGTGAAACAGGGCCAATGAGAGCTATAGACAGCGCCCTCTGGCAAGTTGACGGTGGCCGCATAACAATGCGGAGTGCGCGTGTTTCCAATATCGTGTGATATCAACCACATGGAGCACGCTTGCAATGAGATGTATTATTATGTTTTTTTACGTGCCGTTGGTTCGTTTATGCGCCAGAAAGCGATAAAGACGCTCGCGTGTTTGCCGAATGGACGCCAGAACCATCTTTCTTTAATGATACTAAATGTTTCTACGTGATAGAGCCCACTTCTGACACTGAACGTAATAGCAACGCCGTGTGCACGCTAAGAGCGAAATTTTAGATGCGTCGATGTTCGAAGGTATACCTCCGAACATCGGAGGTATACCTTCATTGTTCGTAGGTATACCTCCGAACAATGAAAGTGTGTACGCGTCCTTTGTATGTGAACAAAAGGACCGACTATATATTAGCCAAAATGGCTGGTGCGCCTCAATTGCCATGAGAAGTGAAGCGTTCGCAGCAGCTGCGGGAGATTCGCTTCAGTAATCGAAACTTGTTTTAATGAAACTGACGAGCCGTGCTGGTTGATAATTGAATACGTTTCGCAATGTGGACAGCGCGGCCCGTGCGGTGGAAGAGCACGAAGAAGCCCGACGCAGTTCTTTGTTTTATGTGAGGTCTTCGGTGTCTGGAACCGGTGAAGGACCATTAAAACGAACAAAACTTGGGCTCTTTACGGGCAAAGCCATGATATGATTATCAGGTACGGCGTATAGGGGAAATCTGGAATAAGACTGAACACCCGGTGTTCCTCTTAATGTGAAGCTGTCCACCGTGGTGGAGCAGTGGTGCTTGGCTGCTGACCCGAAAGTCGCCAGTTCGATCCCGGCCGTGGCGGTCGCATTTCGACGGAGGCAAAATGGTGGAGGGCCGTGTACTCTGCGGTATCAGGGGCACTTTAATGTATACCAGATGGCGAAAGTCTCCTGAGCCTTTCACTACGACGTTTCTCTTAACTATATGATGGTTTTATGACGTAAAACTCGGGATAATAACAATATTATTGTGAAGTTAAATGCAGGTAGAGCGGCGTTTTCGCACCTGGACCTCGTCAAAGTACGCTCTCTTGGTGGGTTATCGGCGCAGGCTGCGTCCAGGAGCTTAGCGGGGCACTGCCATGGCAGTTAAGCCAGCAAACGCGGGTTTGAAAAGCGTGCACAGCTCAAGACAAAAACACTTATTGGGAAGGCCGATGAACTGAAAGCGATAACACGGAAGTTCCGCGTTGCTGTCAGTGCAGCACAGTGTAATTCTTCATAAGTGCGAACAAGTGGCCGCTGATACTTCTCGGCTTCCTAAAACGTCGTCTGCGCAACACACCCCGCCATGTAAAATTATTAGCATATCAGTCCCTCGTAAGAAGCAAGCTTGAATATGCATCGTCAATTTGGAGCCCACAACACGCGTATCTCATTATTGCACTCGAATCACTTCAAAACCGTGCCACTAGATTCATTCATTCCTCATGTGCCTATCACATTAGCGTGTCATCTTTAAAAGAAGAAATTGGCCTTTCCCCACTATCTTCCCGCCGCCGCATTGCCACCCTTTGCTTGTTTCATAAACTTTTTTACAGTCCACTTGCAATCGAACCTTATATTTCCCCCCCATTTCGCAGGTCATATCGCATTGGCCATGTCTTTCAAGTTGCCCGTCAACGTTCCCGCACCGTTACTTTTGCTGCCTCATTTTTTCTTCGTGCAGCAAAAGACTGGAATGACCTCCCCCACCATATTGCAGCAATCACCTGTCCATCAACATTTATGCATAGCGTCACAAGCCGTTTTTCAAGCTAATTCATGGCTTTTTTGTACGTTTTTTGTAACCCCACCCCTTATGTAATGTCCCCCTGGGGACCTTTAAGGTAATAAAATGAAATGAAATGAACCTTCATAAGCGCTTCGTATTAAAGATAAGAAAGAAATTGTTATCACTCCGAGAGAAGGGTGGAGGGGTGCGAAGACTTTCTCTCGGTGTAGCTTCGGAAGGAGGAAGGAGGAGGGGGGGTGTAGCCTATACGCCGAGACGCTTCGCGGGTCTCACTATTTTGCCAGCATCACTGACGCTTGAACGGGAGTCGACAGCGAGGTGACACTCTACCGATGACAACACACTTGCTCGAACGTTTCTGCCGCTGTCACACGTTTCTTTTCAGGTGCCGAATCTCCGCAATCGGGCATTGTGCTACTGCGCGTTTGATGTTGAGGAATTCATGAGAGATTCTGAATGTATTCAGCAGGTCTGGCTATGACTCGCTTGTGACTGACCCCCATATTATAGAACGTCCCTTCACTCAACGCTTCACCTTCACTTGAGAAAGCCGATGGTAACGCCCTCTCTAGGCACGGCAAGTCACTGCGTATCGGCGATAATCTGCTGCGATTCTTGAGTAGCGCAACGTCATTTTCAGCCGAGCGGTGGGGCATTGCTCAACTCTGTCAAGTGAAGGGTGGGAGTCGAGTCGAGGAGCGTTTGAGAATACGGGGGTGAATCATAATAGTTCATAGTGGTGGTTTAAACAAAGTAGAAATACCAGTGGTCCGTGTACCATTGGATGTCAGTGCATGTTAAAGAACACCAGATGGTCAAGAGTTTCGGAGTCATCTACTCTTGCGTACCTTGTGATCATATGTTTGGCTCGTAAGACTTCCGATATTGGTGTTAATGAATCCGTAGTACAAGCGGAGACACGCTGCTGACTGCGGAGAGCCGCAGGGGTTGTACTGTGTGGTTCACTGTGGTCGGGAATGTGTGTTCATCGGTATCGTAACATTATTGCGCTAGTTCTGACAGCAAATGCAAACTTCACAAGGTCTCTAATGTACTGGCCTGTAAAACAACTCGAAGGCGACAGCCTCCAGTTTATTTTTTTTCTTAGTTGATGCATTGATCTACTACCTCCAAAAGCTGCAAAGACACCTCACGTATTTTTACGCTGCCTCCGAGGCAGGAGGCATCGCAAGTTTTTCGCGGCTCAGCCAGTTATGCACTGCCTCCGGGATCGGCAAAGGTTGCTAAATCGACGATGCTGTGTGATGACGTCAACATGTGATGTCCTGTTAGGGACATCAAACTAGCGCTATAGTGAAGAAGGCAACAATATTGGCTACCTTTGACGTCACTATAGCGGCGTATGTTAATGGCTTGTTTTATGTATGTGTATATGCATGTAGTTACAAACATATATTTATGCACACATATACGTTCTGGTTAGACTTTTAATTTGACGACATTGTGTTGTCTGTTCTCTACCAGATCACTACCAATATTCTCACTCGGGTGACTTTTTTCACAGTTCACGTATTCTTCATCTTCTTTAGTGGCTATGTTCTGCTAAACTTCATCTAAATATGTAGATTCTGATTTCGTACATTGTTCTACTGGTATATACAGTTGCCACTTATACGGGGTCGTTACCCTACAGTCAAGCGCATGAAAAGGCTTTTCGACGCCTGCTCTCCACATCCCAAATTATGGCATGTTGGAATCAGTTTCAAAGGTTCAAGTGATCACGTGCTGAGTTCTCACTTTGTTCTCTTGGTCGCCGACGGTAAATTTTAGTGCTTGACCTGGAATCTAAGGCTATCACCTTATTGTCACCGAGAAATTCTGGCACGCTGGTTCGTACGAGCCACACTTGGACTGTTCTGTACAACCTACTTGAGAGATGAGGATGCGGAATGCCCTCTGAGCGAGCATATTCTCGCCATAGGTGAAAAGCAGTCTGTTTCTGGACGGCGTCGCCTGTTCGTGTAGCCCCCAGAAGCAGGACAGGTAGTCGGCTCGCTTGCGCCACACCTCGAGGATGACCGTGTTCCAGAGCAAGTTGAAGAGCACACCCGCGATTCGCCACTGCAGCGAATCCCGGTGCTTGAACACAAGGACGCCCACCGTCATAGGCACCTGCGAAAAAGAGTAAGGCCGCTAAGGTCATCATCATCATCATAATCGTCATCATCATCATCATCATCAGCAGCAGCATCAGCCTGACTGCGTCCACTGCAGGACAAAGGCCTCTCCCATGTTTCGCCAGTTAACTCGGTCCTGTGTTTGCTTCTGCCAATTTAACCGCAAACTTGTTACTCTCATCTGCCCATCTAACCTTCTGTCTCCCCCTAACCCGCTTGCCTTCTCTGGGAGTCCAGTCAGTTACCCTTAATGACCAGCGGTTATTTTGTCTACGCGCTACATGCCCGGCCCATGTCCATTTCCTTTTCTTGATTTCAACTATGATATACTCAACTTCCGTTTGTTCCCTAATCCACTCTGCTCTCTTCCTGTATCTTAAGGTTGCACCTACCATTTTTCTTTCCATTGCCGCTAAGGTATGCGCATACAAGCAGTAAATATTATTCAAAGAGTGAAAAAGTTAGACCTAAACGTAAGCTTGATTTGGCTCAAGACGAGGGAGCCATCGTCACGACGCACTCATATGAAGGCATCGATGGAAACGCCACACCTATTCACGTGAAAGAGGTGCGGTGCTTGTAGCGGAAATTTTTCGCAGAGGCGTTGGCGTTGGCGTATCCAGCAAAAATAAAGGGGGGGGGGGTGCTCCTATGCATACGCTTGTTAGAAGGCCCTTGATGAGGTAGCGAGATAACGAAACTGGGTCTGAGAAGGACGTGGACAGACAAAGCGAAGTATGTGTACCTGTCAACCTTTAAATACATCGGCGCTAAGGTTTTCCCATTGAAGTCCTCTTAACAACATCGCATGAAACCTCGTGTAATTTTATGACGGCTGTCGCTTGCGATGGTCCTCTTAACAGCTATAAGTTCTACTGCGACAAGTTTCAAAGGCTTTCGCCTTCGAACCTTCTTAGGCGAAATGATAAGCGATCCTGTTGTTTTTTTATCCTTCTTCTCCACCTAACGTCTTTCCATCTTACCATGAGGGACCAGGTGTAGAAGCTGAGGAAGGCGTAGTAGAAGGCAATGCGTATGCCGAAGTACACCTTGATCATGTGCACGGGTATGGTGAGGTTGGACAGCCACTGGCGCCGTATGGCGCCCAGCAACTCGTAGTCGTGCGGCGCGAACAGCGCCACCACGATGTCCGCCCGACAGCACACGGCGAACACGCTCTGGCCCGGATGGATGAGCACGCAGCGGTGGCCCAGTCCCACAACCTCGGTCAGCTGCTCGGCGCGGATGCCGTCGATGACGTTCTGTACGATCTCCTGGCGCTCGGTGAGTGAAAAGAGCTCCTCTGGACCTGTTTTCATCACCGTGACCGAAGTCGCGCCAGTGGTCCAGCATGAACGGCCTCTCGGAGCCTGAGCGGTGCATCTTGAACACGCCCACCTGCGGCGACAGCCCGTTGAATGTGTTGATTATGGCGGAACGAAGTCTGAAGTCCGTCAGAACCGAATGTAGTCAAAACGCGTCCGTTAGAACGTACCTAATGGGCTTTTAAAACAGGGTTCAGCTTAAGTTGAGGACTACGCAGTGAGCAGTGGAAAGAAAAATGGTAGGTGTAACCTTAAGAGACAACAATAGAACAGAGTGGTTCAGAAAACAAATCGGGGTTAAGCATATCATAGTTGAAATCAAGAAGAGAAACTGAGCATGGGTCGGGCATGTAGCGCTTAGACAGAATAACCGCTGGTCATTAAGGGTAACTAACTGGATTCTCAAAGAAGGCAAGCGATTAGGGGGAGAGAGTAAGTTAGGTGGGCAGGTGATATTAAGAACTTTGTGGGTATGAAGTCGCAGCAGCAAGCACAGGACCGAGTTCACTGGCGGTACATGGGAAAGGCCTTAGTCCGACAGTGACGTGGTCAGGCTGCTGCTGATGATGAATACGAAATCCGTAATCACGAGATTGCTGTGTTGATTTGCGCGCATATATAGTATCATCATCAGTGACAGACTGATGGTCAGTCCGCATCGTGCACACGGACTGACGGTCGAAAGTGCGATTACGAAACTTTATAAAGATTCGGCACAGCAGTTATGAAGAAAGCTGCAGCGCTAATTCGCTCATCAAGATTGGTACTCTGTGTTTTGTTTTACTGGCGTGCTCGTTTATTTCAAAATAAATAGCTTTACGCTGATTGAACAGCCAGTGGACTTGCGATGCGAAGGTAACTATGAAAAGCATGGGTGCTGAACCGAGTCGCAGAGTGCGTTAATTGTTTAAGAAGCTCACTTGTACGTGCTCTTTCGCTTCAATGTTTACGTGCTAATTCCCATGAAAGTTAATATCCGCGAGTGAAGCTCTCGCAAAGGAATCGTTTAAGGTGGCACGTTAGTTCATTCATTCGCTTGCTCGTTCATTCAGCAATATAGATCGTATGTCAGATAGGTCTACATTGTTCACTTTTGCAGTATAGTTGGTGCGTCTAATCACTTGACGAAACAACCAGCTCTGTCCTAATGTATCAATTCTAATTTATACACGTCTCCGGGCGTATTAATAAGGCGATAGCTTTAGCGGCCTCATGAAGCGCTAAAATTGACCGTCGGCGTCTTGCATAGCGGCTTCATGTGGAGTGATGCAAAAAATATATATAATCAAGAGCTGACGTCATCATGACGTCATACATGGCGCTTTCTTTTTGCATTGCCTCCGTGATTATTTGGCCCATCACGGAAGCCGTGCAAAACCAGGGGAGGAGCAAAAACTGTTGGAGGGGGGCGGGAGAGGAGCAGTTCGTCGACTGCAGAAAAATAAGCTGGTTCTCGGTTTCCAATCGTAGTGGGCGAATGCATAGAGGTTTTTCGCGTTTTGCCTAGGTGGCTGATCTCCAGCACTAGTACATCTCGCGGGAGCGGTGACTTCAGGAAATACAGAGCGTCTCACGAGTTGGAAATGGTCAATAAAAAAAAAACAATAGCACAGCGAGCAGAAGAGGACGTTCGTATATTCGTCGTTTCACCCGGAGCACGCTGCCGTGTGCCGTAATTACCAACTGACTTGCTCATGAGTACGTTCAAAATAAACTACTTTGCTTATCAATAATCTTGTAAACTTACAGATGAAAAGTAAGCACATGCCATACTACTCTTGGCATGGTAGTGCAATATTTTTTCAATGCAGCTCCGAGCGTAATATGTTTTCAATGAATTCTGCCATCTGAAAAAGGCATCTTCTTTACATGATATACTGGAAAGGTCCGAGAAAGATATCGGTATAGATCTGACTAAAACAGACTAAAATGTGAAAGCACATTACTGAACACTTTTCTTGTTCCTCGTTTACATGGGCGGGGTGCCTCACGAAAGGAATACTTCATAGCAATCCTGGAAATGAAGCTCATAAAATTGTGTTAAGGTTATGGGACGAAGGCAGTCATGTGGAGGACCGGTAGCTTGTGACAGTTAGGTAACCGCGGGTTTCAAAGTCCTGATCTATCATCGGAACTGCATCTGAGAACGAGAAAAAAAGGAAGGATAGGGATGTTGATGATATGTGGGGTTTAACGTCCCAAAACTACCATATGATAATGAGAGACGCCGTAGTGGAGGGCTCCAGCAATTTTGACCACCTGGGGTTCTTTCGCGTGCGTCCAAATCTGAGCACACGGGCCTACACCATTTCCGCTTCCATCGAAAATGCAGCCGCCGCAGGCGGGATTTGAACCCGCGACCTGCGGGTGTCACTGGACCACCACGGCGTGGCAGGACAGGGATGTTAGCCAGAACATCTGGGGTCATTCACTAAAGAAAAGCCTTCGACTCTGTGTTTTATAGCTTCCTTTTACGCCAAGCACGCACGCACACACACACACACACACACACACACACACACACACACACACACACACACACACTCACACACACACACACACACACACACACACACACACACACACACACACACACACACACACACACACACACACACACACACAACACACACACACCACACACACACACACACACACACACTTGCGCAGACGAAATGTTTAAGCACCTTCTCGGCCATGACCGGGGCGTCCTCGGGTTTGAGTCGCACCAGCAGGAGCCACCGGGTGTTTCGGCACACGGGCGCGACCTCTACCAGCAGTAGCTCGGCGCGAAGCAGGTCGGCCAGCCAGAGGGCCGTCTCTTCACTGCCCTTCACGACGACGGCGAACTCGGCGCGGTTCGTCGACTGGAGGGCCCCCGGGGCGGCGGCCGGGCCGCCTGGGCCGCCGGCTGGCCTCGCCGCCATGAACTCGTCTACGCGAAGCCGCCGGCCGATAACATCTTTGTTCTCTTTGTGCGCGTTCGTTGGCTGCCACTAGATGAGAAGTGACAATGATGATGATGGTGCTCGTGACGGTGATGGTCTCGTGCAATGGCGCGAATACACTTTTGCATGAAGAAGTGGCCAGTTAGAAAGGGAGAGTTGGTTGGTTGGTTCCTCAACATCTTGGCGCAACGCACTCTTAGGTATAGGCCACGAATCGGACGGTGCCTTGCTATTGAAACGAATTCACTTACCGAGAGAATCGGTAAAAAATGAATTGATTAGCCATTACACAGTAATATTTAAATAATAAGATTAAAAAAAGAAACTTCGGAAAAATAACATCAACACCACCAAAAATATATATGCTTATGGAGACAGAAGAGATATTATTCTGCCCTGTGCCGCCGCCGCCGTCGTTGTAGTAGTAATAGTATTAGTTGTAGTAGTAGCAGTAGTAGTAGTAGTAGTAGTAGTAGTAGTAGTAGTAGTAGTAGTAGTAGTAGTAGTAGTAGTAGTAGAGTATAGTAGTAGTAGCTAGGGCTGGGTTGGGGCGTTTTCTCCCGTTCTCGCGAAAGTTTCCAATTCGGCATGTGGATTTATACACATGCCGTCCAGCAGGCCCACGAAGCGGCCGCCAGGTACTCCCTGTCGGCCCCTACGTGGGGGACGCCCGCTACGCTTTAAGGCAGTGTAGTGGGTGAATTGCAAGTTCGAAAAGATTTCACGTGCATATTGCTCGTGTTTTAAAGCATGCTATGCATGACACAGAATGCAGCCACTTGCGAAAGCTTCACTGATGCAAGCCAGTTTCAACTTTATAGATTACATTGTTGTAATTCATCATTTAAACTTCTCGAGTGACGTCACACAATAAGAAGTGTGCAGTAAGCGTTTGAAGTTCGCACTGTGGACAGGATATTGCTATAGCGTTCAGCTCGAGAATCCCCCAATATTTTTCAAATATAGCAGCAGCATCACTGCATCAAGCCATCTCGCTAGCCAACACCACCTCTCGTGTGCCTACAGCAGAAATATTCAGCGCTTTAATTGCGTGAAATCACCTGATTTCTAAATTTGAAAGCCTCTCCTTAGATATATATAGTACTATGCGTTGTCATAAATACACATGAAAAAAAATTGCCATGCCTGCGCAGAACACGCAGTACTGTACTAAAGCTCTCCTTGCCGCAGTCTCTCCTTTGCCGCAGTTTGGACAGCGGTCATTTGGAACGACTCCCCAATGTGCTAACCGGTCACGCGCAGGCAATGCTCTCCATCTTCTCAACCAGTCAAACTCGCGCACCTGGTTAGGTATACGTCATTGCAACGCCATCGTTTCTATTTTTCGTGCAGGATGCTTTTTCTTCCTATTTGCTCAGTGTGCTACGTGTCATCATTTCGCTTGTTTCCTGCGATGAAACATCTTCCAGACTGTATGAACCTATTGATTCCACTCTTCGTTTCATGCCCCTGGCAGCTCTGTAAAACTTAAGCGGAACTTCTGCTCGTGGTCCGATGTACGTATTTGCCGCGAAAGTTCTCTTTAGTGTACTGCACTAGTACATCAAGAGCCTGCACCCGGGCTAGTTGCTGTCATCTAAGAGCTTCTCTGTTGTTTTTGGAGCCAGCGCTCTCGTGAATGTTGGTATGTCTGGGAGACTCAGGACCCCACGGTTTGCGGGAAACAAAAAGAAAGATTCCTTGGTACCTTTGGTGGTTTTCCTCTCCAGAGGAAGGTCCCCGCAATGGAGGCGAGGCGTCCTATTACACGGCGAGGTAGAAGTGCAATGTGTGCTATGTAAAACGCAAAAGCATAGAGTAACATTACTCTATGGCAAAAGTGCATGCCTGTGTCTTGATGACTGTTGCTGTTGTCGTTAGTGACAGGTTAAAAGGAGTGGCTGCTGCTATGATATCGGTGAATGTCCTAAGCATGTCATCCCAGGCCCTGTGTTTAGAAAAAGTGAATAACGATTTCGAGTACTTAGTACTCGACTATAGGAGAGCCTGAAGCCGTCCCGTGGGCCTCACAGTAGAAGCTCAGGCATCGTCTGCCTGATCGCTCTTGGAGCGGTCCTGTGATTAGAAAAAAATTGTTTAACGACTTTGAGTACTTCGTACTCAACTATGGGAGAGCACTGAGCCGTCCCGCTAAAAGCATGGTGGTAGCGGTCCTAAGGTTTCCTGTTACTTCATCGATAAGAATTCGTTGCGAAGAACTTTAATAATCAAGGTTTTTTTCTGTCTAAACATACAAGCGGCAAAAGGTTCTTGTGAAGAATTCATGTATATACTAGAAGTGATTTGTAAACTTTCCTGCTGCTAAAAGTAGGTAATGTTACCTTCTATAAGAAGCGTAGAATCTTTTATTAAGTCATCGAATGCAACGTAGTACAATGCGTCTTAGTTTTTCCTGCTCAATGAAGAAAAATTGTCTGCAGCGTGCTTACGTTTCGCCGATGTACTTCGAAAAGGAACTCCACTTCTGGGCGGACCTATATGAAGTTGCATAAATATCAGCGGCTCTGTAAAACGTTCTGAAGTGTTCAAGCAGGCCCGGGTTGAGCCAGCTTTGTGCATAAAAACAAAAACAAAAATACTGCAGATCCATGAAGTGAATGCTGGTGATGAAGCGAAGCTTTTTGCTGAGATCCATAATGTCAACGTTGAAGTCGCCCAATCGCAAAATCAACTGACATATGGACGGACAGATGCATGGACAGAGTGTGGTCGATTTCAAACCCATATGCGTGCTACGAACGCTCTATGTGTGGTATATGTAACATATGTGAAACTTCTGTTTCAGTTAGACGGGAAGGTACAGCAACAGAATGAACGGTCATCCTGCGAGCCTAAGGAGCTTCACTCCTGAAAAACATCACCTGGGAAGCACTCTGTGCGGCCACAGACGGTTGCAAACATCGCAGCCGAAGCTAAACTTTCACTCGAGAAAATCCCACCGGAAACGGATGGCAGCCCTGGAGAACGCGTTTCCGCAAATGCCACGTCAACGTTGCTCTGCCTGCAATGCCGCTTCCTCGGCTCGTCGTCGTTTCTTTCTATAGGATCCGATGGTTTTCTGATCCTCAGTTCTCAGTTTCTGTGGGCCTGTCCTGGCACCCGGGCTGCAGCATCAGCCCGGTGAACATCAATTCTATCATGGATGAGCCATTGGCGCTGTTCTTGGAAAGTTGTCTGCTGTTCGGGTGTTCATCTGATCCGTGCCCTCTCCATGTGGAAGTTGACAATACTGCGTGCGAGCTAGGAGACACGTCTACGAAGGGATGAACGGCGTCACTGACGGCGCTTCCAATGGTTCGCGTGCTTTGGTGCGACGTAACGGATGAAGCAGCCAATGGACCTCGTTTTCGTTTCTCGTGGCGAACGGTTTTTTTGTTTCGCCTAGCCATCTGCAGCTTTCGCTGTAAAAAAATGAAGTAGGAAAATAGAATATAGAACAAACAAAAATTCTCACAGAGTTCGGTATGCAATCGTCGATGTGAGACGACTTCAAGGCATAAGCCATTTTTGTTTCCATATTCTTTCAGTCGACGCATAGAACCTCCCCTCTTCGAAAACTTTTCGTACCTAAACGTGATCTTGCAGTGCCTTCAAATCAAGCTGTATTGCAAGCTCTATTAGATGCGAAGCAGCTCTTTTACTCACGTGTGTAACACCGTACGTACGTGCATCCATACGAACGCGCCGCAATGCCTTCCCCTCCCCGCAGGTGTTGAAGCGGAGCCAAGCAACACCGCCTAGATTGTTAATAGTCTAGGTGGCGTTGAGCCAAATAGGTCACGCCGCAGCTGCACGTTGACGTCATGCGCCCCTCGCAAGCTTCCCTCGCAGGTGTGTGCCGACGTCACTCTCTCTCTCTCTCACCAGCAGAACGCTCTCCACAGCGCCCTTTCGCAACACACTTCTCTCTTGCTTCACCCTCGCCACTGCCCGCAATGCTCGACCACACGTCGAGTGCAAATACTCATGCGATTCGTTCATCTGCGATGAAACTTACATGAAACCCGCTTCCCGAGTCCTTGCGTTTCAAACAAACGTAGAATAATAAAAACCAAAGATTTTATTATTTTATTTCTCTTGCCTTTTTCAGTTGTTCGCTCACCGGCAGCGCTGATTATCCATTCAGAAACAATGACGCGGACCATGCAATATCTGCGAAACGAGCCCTTTAGCGCTGTGGCATTAAAACTCCCTCAAATGCTCCATACAATTAAGCGGATTGTGAACAAGACTTAAGCAATCTACTGATGTCAAGTATCCGCTTGTGCATCGGCAAGAAATCAGCCCGTCGCTTCGAGGTTAGAAGAAGGCGAGGACGTTGAACGATACAAATGGAAAATTGTGATATTCGTGGCAAAGAGAGAGAGAAAATATTTTCACGTAGAGCTGGAAAAGATTGTCTGGCTTTCCACCTAACATGCTACTCCAGGCGCAGGGTAATGACGAGACATATACAATGATAAACACATAACGCATACAACCACACACGTAGACGACACTACTTATAACGCTGCATTCAGATTTGTGGCCCGCAAGAAAGTCAGCTGAGCTTTTGTGGCGTGCAACGCACTGGAGCTGCTTTGCCATAGGCACAGATTGGGATACGAAATTTTTTACTGGATGTAGCTAAAGATACGCAGAAAGTGATAATTACCTTCATAGAACAAAAATTATTTGCAGACCTTACAGCGCTACCATATTGTCACTTTATGAAGGAGAAACGATTTTTCAGGAGAAGTGGAAACATTTGTCCTCTCGTTTCACTTTTTTTTCTAACATGTAATCTAAACGACGTCAAAGTATAGATGGCGACTTGAGGAGATGAGAAACCGTTCATCAGAAAATTCTTCTCGAGCGAAGGTTAGGTTATAAACCTTACCTAACATCTGACAATAATACACCTGATAAAATCATGACACATCAAGGCTTTCCTCATACCCCATCCTCCCGCAGGTCGC